CAATGATGATCTTGCCTTGGGCGCGACCAGACATAATTTCCCTGTCGACCACAAGACACAACTTTTCAACTTCCTACCAATTCGCAATGGTCAACATCCCCACGACATTCAAGGCCTACGAGTTCGCCAGCTACGGCGACGTGCTCAAGGAAGCCAAACTCAATACCAACGTCTCGCAGAAGCCGCTGCAACACACACATGTGCGTGTCAAGGTCGTGAGCGCCGCTGTCAACCCACTCGACTACAAGTTGCTCCTATTCGGGTCTGCCTTCTTACCAACGGGTCCGACGGCTGAGAACCCATTGCGAATGGGCTTCGACATGGCTGGTGTCGTGGTTGAGGTCGGTAGCGGTGATGTCCAGGGCTTCAAAGTCGGTGACGCTGTGTACGGCACACCCGACATCACTGCAGGTGGGAGCTTCGGCGAGTACTTTGCAGTTGATGCCAAGTACTTGGCGCACAAGCCAAGTAACTTGACGTTCAACGAAGCTGCAGGAGTGCCAATGGCGGGTCAGACCAGCTACCAGGCGCTCAACAACCTCGGAAAGCTGGAGGCTGGCCAACGTGTGCTCATTTTGGGCGGTAGCAGCGCAACTGGACAATTTGGCATTCAGATTGCTAATGGAAGGCCACAGTCTGGTTCTTGCGCATGAGAGCGTAGTGACGGGAGACGAGTGCGTGTCGGTCCGAGTCCTTGTAGTTACGGAACTCTTCCTCGGCCTTGCCAGCGGCGACTTTGCCCGTGACTTCGAGCGTGGGCTTGTGCACAGCGACGTCGTCTCCAGCCATGGTTGGGTTATAGGAGTGTGGAGATCAGTAGTGCGTGGGGCGGAGTGGAATTGGAAATGAACTGGCGAGTGGATTGGTGGAGGTGCTAAATCTGGAGAAGGAAGTTGCAGTGTTCAGTTTGAGTTGTTGTTGCTGTTGATGAAACGGACAAATCTTTCTTCCTCCTTCTGGCGGTTCAGATCGATTTTGCGCCAATGGTCACGCGCATTTAACAAAATTTAATCTACGAGACGCAAGATGAGTGGTTGAAAAAGGTCACATAACTCGTTTCTGTGACCCCGTGTTCAACCCCCATCTCACGATGAGTGAGTTCACTTGGAAAGCTGAACCAGAACTACCCGCTGGGATTGTCGGAAGTATGTTAACTCGGCAAGCTGGCGCATGCATGAGACGTACATGTAGCTTGCGCTCGATATGAGCGCTTCAATGAT